TTAATACCACGTTCATCTCATCAAATCATCAGAGATTTACTTAATATAGAAATGTTAGGTTACTATACCGAGTTTACAGATGCCAGAGACAACTTGTTCTCGCAGACACAAGACTACTAAATGGCTGAAATCATGTAATCCTATCGCTGACTCGATTTGATCAATTTAAATAGACTTGTATACCAGCCTCCCGTCATTTGTCACCCACAAGATTGGCGTGTCTTTATTACACATCTAGTACACAATATGATCGGAGTATGTAATCACAGGGACGAAACGGATTTGCGTGAAGAAATAACCAGATGTTGGATTGTCCAAAAGTGCAAAAATTTTCAGTTTATATTTTAATCAGTATTTATATTAAATAAGCAGCACAATTTATTTTAAATCACATTAGTTTTCACCGGCGACCTGCTACCAATGCTCAGGCAATCCGTCGATGCGTCTCCCACAGAAGGAGCTGGACTAGAAGTCAACGTATTGGGTAAGATACGTTCCCATATGGTTGCGGCTATACAATTTCTCTTCCTTGATGGGACTGTGCAACGAGCGGATGTACTAACCAGTAGAATTTAGGTCCTGGCTAAATTCTGAATGCATGGTAGCTTCTATACTGCATTGTTTAATACTCTACAACGTAAGGATATGTGTTCCATGCAGAAAAGTCTTGAAAGCTTTCCCTCGTGTTCGTCAAGCTTCTGCTACAGTTGCGGAAACATATATCGACTGTTACCGTGGAGTTGGCAGTTGGTAGTTCTTGACAGATGACGCCGAGGCGATCCCATCATATCAACGTATAATTGTCTTGCCGTGCAGCTCAAATTGCGTGCCTTGTATTGGTGATTCATCTGTTGCAATCTACTGAATCTTCCTGCTATTGTTGACATGACGCATCCACTTTTCGTTCCCAGAAACGATATCTTTCTTCCACCGACACTTTCTTACTCGGGTGAGAAATGAAACTTGATGGCACAACGTTTCAAAATCTGAGCACCAGTTTAATCATTTACGAACAATTGACCGAGTCTCTGGACTATTCCGGATTGACGCAGATCACGCTGAATGTTGGTTTTGAAAGGCTAAAGTGTGACCAAATTTCACCTGCACACTCTATCTCGGCACCTGCTTCAGATCACCTCGGACGCTTGTGTCCTTGATCCGAAGCTCAAGGATGCAAGCCAGTGGACATGTCAGCAACGTCCGAGATGATCTGAAGCAGGTGCCGAGATAGAGTGTGCAGGTGAAATTTTGTCACACATTAGCCTACCAAAACCACCGTTCAGCGGGATCTGTGTCAATCCGGAGTAGTCCAAATGTTCGGTCAAGTGTCCATACACGACTAAATTGGTGCTCAGATTTTGAAAAGTTGTGCCATCAAGTTTCATTTCTCATCCGAGTAAGAAAGTGTCGGTACGAGAAAGAAATATTTGACAATTCGTAGTTCCCTAACCTGAATCAAAGAAACCAAAGCGCCACCATGACGTAACTTTGAGCATCTGCGCCTAGTAGACTAGGCAGGTTATGACAAGTTTTGACTGTTTTGTGCCCTTTCAGCAACTCATACAACAGGCTTTCTCAAACAGAATGTTTATTATTTGCAACTACTGCATCAATTGCTGAAATGTAGGATAATTGAACAACGTAAGACTATATTTTCAAGTTGTCCCTCCATACCCCCATTTAGGGGATCTTCGAGAAGCTTCCAGAAAATTCAGGATTGGTAGCAGCAACAAATAAAGGTGTTTTTGGGATAACCCAATAGATTAATCCAAAGGAACAGAGTGGAGGATTGAAAGTCTGAGCATCTACGCGTACATGTTGCTTTTTTATTTTGCTGCGCTGGTGTGTTTTTTGACGGAAGCAAGGAAGTACCTCATAGATGCAGAATAACTTAAATATGCAAATGGCCTAGTTAGATACACCGGGGCTTCTACAGGATAGTTATGTTATCATTACGCTGAGATTGCTTTAATGAGTAAACCGTTTGCTCCTGAGGAATCCAGTTGCGTGGCAGAAAATAAACAGCGGTTTTAGAGGAAATGATGCAACTGCCGGTTTCTCTGTGACGATTATGGCCGTACTTTCAAACGCTAGTCATGCATCGTAGTCAGTTAATGAGTATGGACCAAATGTGCGGAAGAGAACGCAGAACAAACAAATGACTAAACATGCGATAGTGAATTAGGTAAATTTAAGGACCACAGTCATGTACTTGACGCCGTTGTCTTGTTGGGCGTTTTAGCTAATCGGATGTAAGGCCTAGTCTGGCATGATTAGGACTCTCTGGGAAACATAAGACATGGCTGCGTTGCGAAATTTCAAGGTAATTGCAGTTTAATATGTTGGAATACACTTTGAACAAATGACGAAGTAATCAATGAAAAAGCTCCTGAATTTCCCAAGAAGGATTTAGGGTGTGGTGACGATAGCGCTTGAAAATTAGAAATCGACCGCACGAATTGCTTTTTCAAGGACTATAACATTGGATTCATTTACAAACTGGGATATTTAATAAAGAAACTGAAGAATCGCTCATAACTGCTCTGAAGCAAATGCCAATACTGACGGTTCAATTAGCATGAAATCTCTTTATACGTGTGTGTTCGTTTGCTTGCTAAACAATCAGCTTTGAGAGTTGCATAGGGCAATAGACTAATTTAAATGCATTTCTGGTAACCTAAGTGGTGACATAATGCTATCTGTTCCGACATTTGGCATACGGAGGCTATTAAGTCGGCCGTTACCACTTCATTGAACATCATTTTTACTTTAGCTACTGCAAACATATAAGTTTTGGAGGAATATTTTTACATCTTTTTGTCCGATGAGCTTCATAGATCACCAAACCAACTTACTCTTCACATTTTCAATACTAACTCGAGATACCTCTTACTATTCGCAATTTGTTGCTTTTGGCCACAAACGTTTAGTCGGGCTGAGGCCAATTCTGAAGAAATGTCTTCGTATAATACTAATCCCTCTGATAATAATAACCCGAGGTTCCTGTTTAACAATTTGCGCTTAGTGCCCAAGAATGCGGATCTCTTTATTTGAGTGACATCAATTCATCCTTCCATTTGTTTTACCATGTATACAATTTTTCAATTTTGTTGATCTTTTGTTTCATGTGCAGTTGATAATGTAAAGCGCTGCAAGTGTACCCATCCGGGTACATAAAGCATATTTTGACTTTATTTAACTTTAAGTACGATAAGCGGGCCGCGCATTCATAGCTAAACATAATGTCTCACCGCCAGAAATCGCTGCAATCTGTGTGCTTTGGGATGCAAAAAATGAAGGATAAATATAACGATCTCATTCCTTTTCATTACGAATAAATAACTGAAGAGATTCATTAGCTACTCTTCTGTCTCTCAGTAGTGTATGCAACTGTGCATGCACGGTGACACCTTAAGTGTTGAATATTTGTCTTTCTGGTGGATGCGTAAATAATAATAGGCCACATTTTAGAGGACAATAACCGTCTTAAACAATAGGAAGTGGACTGTCTTTCGAATGACTACTAAATAATTGGCGCGTCATGTACGATGTTGTAATGCCTGCGGGCCCGTAGCTTTAAGGATCGTAAGTGTGACGTGCAACCCAAGGTCGCGGGTTCGAGTTTGCGTAGGGGACAGAAAGACCCTCGCGATATAATTAGATCACATGCAACAGCTTCGCGCGACAGCGAAGCTTCGGTACTGCGTACCAGTGCATTGCTAATGCCTCTGTCAAGCCTTCATTTACCAAGGTTTAGCTGCATGTTAATCTATCATACGTGTCATCTAGAATTGTTGCAACTATTTTAACCGCACTGATAGTTTCCTTTCATTTTGCCAGATAAACTAACGTTACAACATGTTGAGAGATATTTCGTGTAGAATGGTCTGCAGAACCTTTGCTACTCGATCAACTTGCATAACAACAACATACTCTCAGTCTCGCATAATTGTTTGAACCCATTGCGACGCATTTGGTACACATTGGGATCTGACGCCTACAGAATTAATGAGTGCTTCCAAAACATGGACTTACCGTACTACACGAAACAATGAAATTCAAAATGATGAGGGGAAGACAGACTACCAAATGAGCCGCTGTTGCTAGGCGACGAATTGGATACATTTTTCTTCAGCTGATTCCCTTTAAATATTATTTAATCCGTTCGCTGTTTACAATTATGTTATCTAGAAGCTAAATTCCAGCTGTATAGCGAGCATGATCAGAACCAAGTATTTTGATATACAACGCGAACATCAATTCCGTCTACTTATTGAGTCTATAAAAATACTAACTACCTGGTCAGTATGTACAATGCAATTCATTCGGATTGTCACTAGCATGCCGCGATGAGTGAGTGCAATTGTGTCAGCGCCTATTCGTTCTAATGTATGCATCAAAACAAGAACTCGTTTATCAGCACCCTAATGACTTGAGAAAAACAATCCAGATTTCGCCTATCAGATCACCCAACGCCATCAGCATGATAACGTATGGACGAAATTAAATATAATGCACTAGCCACCATAGACTTTTATAAAATGCATTCTAAGATTTCCAAAACACATTCACGATGCCGAAAATCTATAGGCTCTAATGATCACAGGTTGATTCTCAGTAATAAAATGACGGATACCACACTTTTGCTAACGATTACTAATGGCAAGGTAAACGCTAATATATTTAGTGAGACAAAGAAACACAATCTCTCAAATCATGCTTTGGGTTAGAAATCTCTATAGGGTTGGTAACATATATTATGACCACCTAATTCCACTACCTAATGCTCTCGGAAAGTTTTGCTTTATGATAACTAGGACGCGATGTGTAATTTTGATTCGAAACAGCTTGGGTTGCTGGTTTCTGACGTCACTTTGTATGTGTACATTATTCGTTTTCTAACCACCTCGCATCCGGTTCATGCTAAATGAGAGTGAAACCTTTTCACTTAAAAATAACTTTCAAAGTCTTTTCAACGAACAACATCAATGGTATTACCTTTACACATGCAAGTAACACTTTTTACAGTCTAGTTGGAACTTACCACCACCCTTACGAAGATAGAGAACCCTCCGAATGGCGCGAATCCATTGTTTTCTTTCATCCTGTGAAGTTGCCGATAGTACCAGCTTGGAACGAGTTGGAGTCAGAACATCTTCCGGACGAACTTCATTGCATGCATTGAGGCATAAAGCAACATGCAAAGATGCGTTTAATGATGACCTCCGTCCAACACAATAGTCGTCACGAGAATTTTACCGCCATACTACCGGCCTTCATTCCTAACGACAGGTTTAATTAGTAAGTATAATTTCCCAAAAATACGTCAAAACGTGGTTAGCTAAAGCTAATAAAATACATAAACTGGGGTGATGAAAGAGTTTAAACCCAAGATTTGTATCTAACGGTGAAGCACGGTACTATTTCCTTATAAGGATATGAGAAAAACTGCGGTTGTACAACACTTACGAAAGGCAATATCAAGAAATTCCCGAATCGTGCGTGCGATTGAATTTGACTGCACGGAGTTGGTAATTCGGTGCGTCAATTAGCCGGTTTTCGGAGCGCATTTGGTAGATGAAATAGCGCCAGTAACTTGTGCTTGATGCTCCCTGTAGGCATATTTACAACTAAGTATCCATCGAAGAGTAGGCATTTAACTGATTAGCAACTGATTATCTGTCCTTGGCAGGACGTATTTTACAGACAGTAAGATTCAACATTTTGTTTCTAAGTAATGTGGAGAGCAATGATAAAATTGATAATTGTGTCAACTACATATGCTATGTTGTTCATTGGACAAGGCGTCATTCATTAAAACTACATTAAAACCCTGGCCGAACAACCATCAGCCTAGCCGTCACCCCGACATCGGGTCAGGCCTTGTGATTACGTAACCCTCAATCGATCTGTGTGCATGAGACAGCGGCGAACTATTCGCTGTCTAACCATTGACCGAGTCAGTTCAGAACAAACCCCCGAACCAATCACTATCCATCCCTTTGTAATTTAACCTTATATGATTGTACCGGCCTGTAGATGAATCATTGAAAACAATTGTTTGCCTCAGACTGATGTTCTTGAAAAACCACAGTCAAGTAAGCAACAGGCATTTCATTAGAATACATCAAACACTACCCTTAGCAATGTCATGGTACACCTACATATGTTTGAGACATCGCTTCAAGATGTTACCCTACTTCGGCATCAAAAATGCAGCTGATGTGGTATGTGTCCAACTTCAACTGTAGACAATCCCAATGCACACTACCATTACCACTCGTTATGTAGATAATCCACATCATCATCATCAGGATACACGTTAGCTGCAGGTGGAAAACACCTCAGCTATTGTGCCGCAAAACAAAAGAGAAGAAAAGGCAAACAAACAGTGGCACGCCGGCTGAGTCCCCAGTAACGGATGGACATCGTTCCGGAGAGCTAACAGCTGGTTATCGTGCCGCAAAAAGAGAGTTGTATTATGCCTAACGAGTGAGATCCTGTTTGGAGTGGGATGGTAAGCAGGAGGGGGATGGACAAAGGAACTCACAACACGAACGCCATTGGGGACGGCTCCAAGCCATACCAGCAAGTGTGTCCAACCAAACGTGTTCACCGTCCTTAGGACCCCAGCCAGGCAGTCGGGATGCACCAACCGACGCCAACTTCGAAGTGAGGGCTTTCATTTCTCTCGACCAAGTCATCACTTGGACTCCCCTCCTCCACTTCCAACCGCACCCACAACGCGCAAACAATGCACGTCGCGGGAGTCGGTGTGCTGGCATGCGCAACACGTGGTCCAGCCATCGGAGCCTGGTGCGTGATATAATGGTGCTGAGCGGTTCACTCGCTCTTCCTGCACCAAATACGCGACGTCGAACACGCTCATTGCTCACGCGGTGTTCCCACCAGACATGAGCTAAGCTGCGGAGGCAGCGATGATCGAATGTGACGAGCCTCTATATGTCTGTCGACCTGATGGGCCAGGTTTCACAGATATATAGGAGAGTTGAACGGACGTCTGCTTTGTAAACTCTGCTCTTGAGGGCGAGAGTAATGTTGCGTCTGCACCACAGGTGGCGCAGATTGGCAAAAGCACCTCCAGCTTTTAGTATACGGTTCGTAACCTCATCTTCGATCCCTCGGGTGCTAATATAGCTGCTCAGGTACTTGAATTCCTGAACGACTTCTAGCTGATCACCACCAAGGGTCGGCGCAGGGGTGGGCCCAAGCCAAACTTGGAGAAGAACTTTGCCTTTCGAGGGAGTAAAGCATGGCCCAAAACGATTGACAGCCAGTACTAATCGGTCCAGTGCTGCTTGGCATGTTTGGGCGCTGTCACAGACTAGGGCAATATCGTCCGTATACTCTAAGTCAAGAAGTCGCTCACCATGAAGTAGCTCCACACCTTCTAGGTCGTGTCCAGCGAACGCTCTCTTCATGCCTTCATCAATAGCGAAGTTAAAGAGAAAATGTGACAGCGGGCATCCTTGTCTCTTATCACTGGTGATACTGAAGCTTAGCGACAGTTTGCTATAAACCCTCAGTCTGCCCGATATTTGCGCATACAGCGCTTTGAGAATGTTTGCATATTTATCAGGCACACCTTTCCTCAACAGACGGTCCCAAAGGGCACTTTGATCGGCTGAGTCGAATGCACCTTTTATGTCAAGAAACACGACAACGTTGGGCCGCCAATAAACATGGTTGTGCTCCAACAATTGACGCAAGATGAAGATGTGGTCGATGCAGCCCCGACGTCGACGAAATCCGGCTTGCTCTTCACGAATCTGGCTTTCTCGAGTGTTAGCCATTCTGTGGAGAATGACAGAGGCAAGCAATTTAGAGGCAATTGAAATCAAACTGATCCCTTTATGATTGCCGCATTCCAGACGGGAGTTTCCATTGAAAATTGGGACAGTGACGGAGCGGTTCCAGTCTGTCGGGACAGTCTCCTGCTCCCAACGTTTCACTAACAACTCGCGTAACTCATCTACTAGAGCAGGTCCCCCAAATTTGAAGGGGGCTGGGGGCATTCTATCTGCTCCTGAGGCCTTATGCAATTTCAACAGCCTGGTCTCTCGTTCGACTCCTGTGCGTGAGAGCGGACCCAAGGAGACGGTCCAGGGAAAAGCGCGCTCAATGCCCGAAAAATAAACCGATAACTCAGGTTGGTTAAATTGCCCAGCAAAGTGTTCAGCCCAACGCTCCAAGCGTTTCCCATATAAGATGGAATAACTTACGATGATTGCCAACGGTAGCGGTGGTTTCCATCTCAAAGGCACGATGTGTTGTAGATTGTGTTGCCACTGTTATAATTGAGGGAACGCCGCCTCTTGAGATGATTGCGTAATTATCTGATAAGATTGTCGCTCGCACGGTTGGACTACGCCTACGATAACGACTTGTAACGCTGGCCACTCGAACGGAGTGGCGCTGACCCGATGGCGCTAGCTTAGCCGGTGAGACGGAAAATTGAGCGACCGTGTGACGATCCTAGCCGCAAATGTTCGAATAGACGCGGAGCCCTCGGAACGGACGCGGACGAAGGGGACGCACACGAGAGGGGGGTTTACGGTAGACGCGCGCTAATGACTTAGACGCGAAGGCTGGCCAGCAAACGACTCACACGCAATCACGCGACCAGACCGACTCCCAACTGAGGCGAAGAGAAAGAAAAGACAAGTGGTCCTCTGTAGGCTCTTTTACGACCGAAACAGGGCGATCATAGCCAGTGCTCTGGGTTATTAAGTTAGGGAAAACAGTCACCCCGCAGAGGTGGTAGTTTGCAAATGAGCATTGTCGAAAGGTGCGCAGTTGGGACGCGGCTCGGAGTGGCTGAGCTCTGCTGCGTTGTGGGGAGGAATTGGACCTCGCTTTCCACAGCCATTCTGCCGGGGTTTCTGGCACGTGTTTGCAGGGATTTTTGACGGACCCGCAACAAGTTGAGACCACCAGGTTTCGCGGTCCTTCTTCAGGCTAGCACGTAGTTTTGCCCTGAGATTTTTGCGAGCCTCATTGTATTCACTTCCAGCCGGAATACGTCGGCGAGCATCCGTAAGTTCCAGAGACTGTGTAGAGACCCAATGTCCGGTTTGGCAATTTGCTTTGCCACATGAAGACATGCCAGCTAACAGTAACGTTTGACGAATATGAGACCAGTGATCTTCGAACATGTTTAGTGGGCGCTTACTCAGCCCAGATGTCAGTGCACTTTGATACACATTCAGAACACCTGGCTTCGCCAGCTGGCTGGTGCCAATCCGTTCACATCGACGTTGCGGACGTCCAAGGAAACGCAACCGGAGGTCATCGCAGACAAGTGCGTGGTCAAAGTCCACGCTCTTGCTCCAAATCGAGCGACAGTTTTGGACACAGCCTCTCCAGCGGTAACTGATCGCGATATGATCGATTTGCGTCCATGGCTGGCCCGAGGCTGCTGGCCGCCAAGTCACGCTTTTGAGGGTGCTGTGTCGAAAGTTAGTGCTCGCGAGAAAGAGACGATCATCTTCACACGGCTGTAGCAATCGCTCACCGTTATTATTACGGGAGCTTACACCATGTTGGACGCCCAGAGAAATCTCATCGGAGGACAATTTTCCGACTGGGGCGTTTAGATCGCCAATCAAAACCACAGTATCCGTGCTTCATCTGTAACGAAGGAGCTCGTGAAGTTGATGATGGAAATCATCTTTCACCGAATCAGTGGCACAGTTTGTAGGGGCGTAGGTCGCAATGACAAACAGGCACCGTTTGTCCCAGCGCGACTTCGTAGCACAAAACGAACCACCTAATCTGACGGCGCAGATCGTATTGTTCACAGGGATCCAGTCGATCAGTGCAGCTTAAGCCCGGAGACTGAAAACGATGCCGACGTCAGCTTGACGAGCATTTGAAGCTGCATCATCGCCAGACAGGCGCAATGAGAATGTGCCGCCAGTGTCGCATGTGTTGGATCGCAGGTTAACCATGGAGCTCAAATCTTGCAGGCGGGTTTCTGATAAACAAAAAGTACCGATTGATAGGGTCTCTAGTGTGCGGGCAAGTGCTGCCTGTTGGCCAATCTTTAGCAAAGTGCGCAGGTTGAGGCATGCCAGTCTTAGCGAGACGCGAGGACTCAAAAAGGAAACGGATGAACTGACGTTGTCCGCTTGTTTGAACATGGAC